GAAGAAGAAGAAGAAGAAGAAGAAGAAGAAGAAGAAGAAGAAGCAAATTCCTACTAAATCAGTACAAGCAGACATATTTTCGGGCTTGCGCTCAAAAAGATAGATTTGAATTTATAAAGACGATACGAAGTAAAAGATCAAAAGCACAGTACTGTAGTAGTGTTTTTGCGAGTATACGTTTGGCAGGAGGTCGAATGAAAGTTCAGTTCAAGGTCAAGATCCTGGCGAGCCTGAAATAATGGGATTATGCCGCATCATAGTCAATTTAACAACTCCACATAAGTGATCCTTCTCAATCTTAAAAGCAGTTCACAATTTCGTGAACGTATCATAAGATTGTTCACTTCGGGTGTAAGGCCATAATAAATGCGGACTAACAAGCCTTAACTCGAGCACTCGGGCTAAGTTTCATGCTTAGCTTCATAAATCAGGCGAATTTTTTTCTGATCTCATAGATCAATCAATGACGATATAAAAACGGTCACGAACTTCACAAAGAAAACGGCAAAAGTAAGAAAAGCAGTGCAGCAAACACAGACGCCAGCTTAGAAATGCACTCAGAAGGCCTTTTTTAATTATGAAGACGGTGTAACCGAGGCTAGTCCAAAATCTTTTCAGGTTTTCTATGAGATCTAAAATTCGCCCTACAAAAATTATTATGCAAGAATGTGAACAATATGAATTTGCAAGCAAGAACAGGGATGTAGAATCGCAACCTATGCTATTCAGGAACGCTGACAAAGCAACCGCCCGCGTGGTTACTCGGTCGCAAAAATTGTCTTGTTTCCCACCAGCCGTCTGCTCCTCATGCAACGAGAGCTTACCTAAACTTAATTGACTTACGTAGCTGCAATAACAAATTGCGGAGGGAGATTGCTCATCAACTTGCCCTCTATCAGATCCCCAAGTAAGAATTTTTACCGACGTGCTGGAATCCAGCAGAGTATTGCTCTAATCATGGGACAAAAGTGAAGAGCCATTTATTCGTCAAATTGAGCAGCATGAGCGCACGAGGAGCGTGCAAAGGTATAGAACAAAACGTGCTGTAAAACTGACGTGTTCGTCGGAGGAGAGGTGACTTATATATTCCTGTTTCGTTTGAAAGCCCGTTCCACATATAGGGCACATCCAATTGTGAGCGTCACGGGTGGCTCTTTGGTGGCCTTCGGGCTGCGTGGAATCTGGTGGCAACTAAAAACAAACAAAAATGTAATGCATTAACCTTTGTGACTGCGTAAAGTTGCTGGTAAATAACACAGTGTCATATTATTCAAAATTGTGATGTGGAAATGCGGCCGTTTTACACTTGAGTCCAAACACATCCTGTCCCAACCTGAAAATTCTGTCTACTAGTTCCTCCAACATCCAAATCTTTGTGTTTTGTTTTGCTAGGGGATTCATTCGCCGATTCTCTGTCGTCCGTTGGCAATAGCGGTAAGGCCGACATTTTGCTTTCTGAGATTTCAATCATATGCATTTAAGATTTAAATCAGATTCTGAGGGAAGGAAAAAAACTCTACTTGTAATATAGCGGTAACTTGAAGAAACACTTCTCTGTTAACCATCCCAAACCATTCCTAGATTCATTATTTCACGTGATACACTGCGACGAGGACATTATTCCTCACTTGTTTAAAGCGAATAATCAGGTGGGTCTCACCGAAGGTCATCAAGGAAACATGTACGTCACTCTTTCTTTCTTAGGAGTTCCACAATGTCACCTTCGATGAAATTATTTTTATATAGCATTGTATTTGTGCATTTATAAGTGCTCCTCACTAAGCGTACAACGGTCGAATTTTATTTAAAAAATTTGTGAGTAACATATAGTTTCTTCCTAATAACGCACGAGAACGTGTGATTGCCCTTAAAAGGAAAATATACAGCTTGGAGATTAAAAAAGGCAAGTGAACGCGTTAAAAACTGATTTTTCAATGACGGTTGTTATCTGAGCTAGCTTGGGACAGTGCTGCACGATAAATTCTATAACAACCAGAGTGGAGCTTTCAAGCGGTGACAAAGTCGACAACAGAAGGTTTCCCAAATCGTAAGTCAGGGAAGGCTGGACAGTTTTTTCTCTGAGAAGAAGTTTACAAGGTGCTCTACAGAAAATAATTGCTCAACCTACTCTCATGCCAGTTGTTGCGAGCGAAAGCCTGTGCGCGCAGTATTACTTTTTGCTGCCTGCAGCCTATGAGGGATTGGTGCACACTGATTGGCTTCGAATCCTCGCGTGCATGGGGAACAGAGTAGCGCGACTGCGACCGAGCGAGAGGCGGACAGCGTGGGCGGCATTCACAGGGGATTAAACAAGAGCACGCGCG